AGACAGTTCTCAATAGAGGAATCTAAAATGGCTGAAACACATAAGAAAGTATTCTTAGCCATCAGGGAAATGCAAATCAAAACAACTCTGAGATACCATCTTACTCCTGTCAGAATGGCCAAAATCAAAAACAGCATTGACAGTTTATGCTGGAGAGGATGTGCAAAAAGGGGAACACTTCTCCACTGCTGGTGGGAGTGCCAACTTGTACAGCCACTTTGGAAATCAGTATGATGACTCCTCAAAAAAATGGGAATCAGTCTACCACAAGATGCAGCAATTCCGCTCTTAGGAATATACCCAAAAGAAGCACATTCATACAACAAGAACATATGTTCAATCATGTTCATAGCAGCACTATTTGTAATAGCCAGAAACTGGAAGCAGCCTAGATGCCCCTCAACCGAAGAATGGATAGAGAAAATGTGGTACATTTACACAATGGAGTACTACTCAGCGGGGAAAAAAAAATGGAATCTTGAAATTTGCAGGAAAATGGATGGAACTCGAAAAAACCATTCTGAGCGAGGTAACCCAACCGCAAAAAGACAAACATGTTATATACTCACTCATATGCAGATTTTAGACATAGAGTAAGGATTACCAGCCTACAATCCACACTGCCATAGAAGCTAATAAACAAGCTAAAAGACATTTTTGGTTTACAGAGAAATCAGGCACTAGGGAAATGTCTGGAGATCTACAAAGATGACACCAGCTAACTATCTCAGCAACAGAGGAGAGGCTATCTTAAATGCCCTCCCCTGATTATGAGATTGATGACTGACTTATATGCCTGCCATCCTATAGCCTTCATCCAGCAGCTGGTGGAAGTGGAACAGACACCAACAACTAATCACCGAACTGAACTGGAACCCAGATGCAGAGAAGGACCAGTGAAGAGCACAGAGGTCCAGACCAGGCTGGTGAAACCCACAGAAACAGCTGACCTGAACATCCGGAAACTCTTGCTCCCCAGTATGATAGCTGGAATACCAGCATGGGACTGATCCAGACCCCAGGAACATGGGCTTCTGTGAGGAAACCTCAGAAATCTATGGGACCTCCCTAGCATAGGAATGGACTTTGGGAGCCCATTCCATATAGAGGAATACTCCCTGAGCCAAGACACACGGGGATGGGCCTAGGCCCTATCCCAAAGGATACAATAGACTCTGGTGACACCCTATGGAAGGCCTCACCATCCAGGGGGAGCAGAAAAGATATGTATCAGATAAGGTTTTAGTTGGGGGGGTAGGGGAGGATGGGTGGGAGAAGGGAACTGGGATTGTCATGTAAAACAATCCTGTTTCTAATTCAAATAAAAAAAAGTTGGAAAAAATTTAATCCTGAAAAAAAAAAGAAAGAAAGAAAACTGTGGACTCGCAGCTTTTGCCAAAGATCAAGGCTGTTCCTCAGCTCCGGGGCTACCTGAGGTCTCAGTTCTCTCTGACAAATGGGATGTATCCTCACAAACTAGTTTTTAAATTGCTATCTACCTAATTAAACAGTTTTATATGTTAAAAAAAAAGAACTTGCATCATCTAGAGCTGGTCTTGGGAAAGCACACATCCCAAGGAAATGAAGGACTAGATTGCTAGGTGTCAGACAAGCCATTACCCACTCTCAGTTCTGACAGCTGGAGGCTACATATGCAGGCTATGCTGAGTCTTAAAATGTGCTGCCTCAGCACCATCTTCCACAAGAAACTGACTATCTTATTTGCTCTAAGGTACCGAGGACTCCTTTAGTTCAGGTTTGCTGTCCATTTTTGTATCTGCCCCAGAAACCTTCAAAACTCACGCTTTTGTTTTCATTTTCTAGCTGCTGTGACATAAATATGCTATGAAAAAAAGAACATTCTAATAACATTTCTTTCTCCATTATTTTATATTTTGTGTTCACTGTGACCTATATTCTCTCTGACCTATGAGTACTTAATCTAAGACTTTTTGAAACCCAGGCAGCCTGACACCTGTAAAAGGGAAACTTTATTTTTTTCCTTTCTTTTTTTATTTAAATTAGAAACAAGCTTCTTTTACATGTCAATCTCAGTTCCCTCCCCTCCTCCTCTGCCCCACACTGACTCCATATCCCAAACACTTACTGCTCCCCAGGGAGGGAGAGGCCTTCCATAGGGAATCTTCAAAGCCTGTCATATCAGTTGGACCAGGGCCTAGATCCTCCCCTGTGTATCTAGGCTGAGAGAGTATCCTTCTATGTCGAGAGGGCTCCCAAAGTCCATTTGTGTACCAGGGGTAAATACTGGTCCACTACCAGTGGCCCCATAGATTGTCCAGACATACAAACTGACCTCCTCATTCAGGGGCTCTGGAATAGTCCTAGGATGATTCCCCAGCTATCAGTCTGGAGTCCATGAGCAACCCCTTGTTCAGGTCAGCTGTTTCTGTGGGTTTCTCCAGCCTGGTCTTGACCCCTTTGTTCATCCCTCCTCCCTCTCTACAACTGGATTCCAGGGTTCAGCTCAGTGTTTAGCTGTGGGTGTCTGCTTTTGCTTCCATCAGCTACTGGATGAAGTCTCTAGGATGGCATATAAGGTAGTTATCAATCTCATTATCGAAGAAGGGCATTTAAGGTAGCCTCTTGACTATTGCTTAGATTGTTAATTGGTGTCAACCCTGTAGATCCCTGGACATTTCCCTAGTGCCACAATTCTCTTTAAACCTATAACTGTTCCCTCTATTATGGTATTTCTTCTTGCTCTCCTCTTTTCTTCTCTGACTAGATCTTCCTGCTCCCTCATGTCCTCCTCGCCCCTCCTCTTCTCCCCATCTTTCTTTTAACTCCCTCCCCCTCCCCCATGCTCCCAATTAGCTTAGGAGAGCTTGTCCTTTTCCCCTTCTCCAGGGGACCATGTATGTCTCTCTTAGGGTCCTCCCTGTTTCCTAGCTTTCTGGAGGTGTGGATTGTAGACTGATAATTCTTTGCTCTAGATCTAAAATCCACATATGAGTGAGCACAATTTTTTTGTTTATATTTTCCAGTCTAGTCACAGGAATCTGAGAAGCATAAAATCCCTTTCAAAGAGTCAGTCTTCATGCCTGCAAGTTCCTTTTTTCTCCTTGAAAAAGGCATAAACTGCGGTTGGGGTAAACCTGACCTATGTCCTTGTGGGCTCCAATTGCTGCTTATTTATCATGTTTGGGATGAACTCATCTTGTGGCTTTGATTAAGTGGACAGAAACTTCAGGACTTCTATTGTCACATTCTCTGATGATCATTCTTTGCATTCTTCCTTCATTGTGTGGAGATTTAGGCTCAGAAATTTGTTGAAGCACCAAGTCTAATTTAATTTCTGATGTTACCAATCTTATATTTCTTCTGGTTTATCAGGGCGGAGGTAAAGATGAACTGGAAAATAGCCATTTACATCTTACTGCTGCTAATGACATGCATATACAGCTGAATAGATGGCTTAGTAGCTAAGAACACTGGATTTTTTTTGTCCAGAGGGCTTGGCTTTGGTTCCCAGCACCCACAAGACAGCTCAAAACTGTCTGTAGAACCAGGCATGGGGATCTGACACCATCTTCTGGCCACCACTGGTACCTGGCATGCAACTAATATACACATTAGCAAAATTTATACACCTAAATTAATTTTAATTAGAAAAATAACACCTACATGAAGAAAAACTTTTATGCTATGTAATTTATATATATTTTTTATTTATTTACACCATTTGCATGCCTGGTACCCAAGGAGGCAAACAATGTGCATCATTATCTACTGGAGCTGGCATTATAAATAATCTGAGTCATCTGATGCGCATGCTAGGACCCAAGCTTCAGCATCTCACATGTCTCAGATACTACTGAGACAACTCTCCAGCTCCCAAATATGTCATTATTATTCAGAAGATGAAAATGCCCCATTACTCCTGTCTTCTATCACCTGAAGGTAATGACATTGAAAAATTCAATGGATTTCCAGCCCTCTGTTAGTGGACTAACATATTGCTTCTTATTGTCATGGTTAAAACACTTCTCTTGATGTAAAGACAACAAAAGGTTTTCTGAGTAGAGACCTGATGAAGGAGTCCAAACGTATGGTTTATTAACAGACAAATCAGGAATCGAAGTACTATACTCACAGGACAGAACAAAGCCACTGCTGCTGTGGGTTCAATCAATACGCCATTGCTGTTTCTGCTGCCACCACTCATTCCAAAGCCGGGATGAGAACCAAGCTGTCGGGCACACGTACTCACTGCCAGCTCATCTATTGTCCAGAAGTGTGTTGCTCTGCCCTGACCTTTTATTCAGGTGTTTGGGTCATGTATCCTCTAACTGATGTATCCTCTAGCAAAACTGCCCTTTGGACCAAGCTACTCCTTAATTGGTTAGTGGACTGATGACAAAATTCCTGCAGCAGAGATCTATCGAGACTATATAAAACAATTTCCATAATTTGAGTTATGGATTTTTTTTTCTTTTTTTTGAGGGGGCAAATTTTTGAGAATCTCTCTACATAGCCATGGCTGTCCTGGAACTCATTATATGGACCATGCTCGTCTCAAGTTAGAGACAGTCTCCTGACCCTGCCTCCCAAGTACTGTGGTCACAGGCATACACCACTACACCCAGTAGGGATATGCTGTTTAAATGACCTATCTTTGAATCAGAATGTGCTGCCAATTACTATTCTATGTGCATTCTAGTGACCAAATGTAGGTAGTCAAGTTTGGTTTCAAGTGACCTCACTGGCCTTATTTTTCTATGTGTTGGTGTTGTACACCTGAAAGAGCCAAACTGTAGAAACAAGAGAAAAAACATGCAAGAGCAAAGAGAAAACCTCTTAGTAGTATGGGTCTCCCAGAGATTGAACTCAGGTCATCAAGTTTAGTCAGGTAATCATGCTTAGTAGCAACCAACTTTGCCCACTAAGACAATTCTCTGGCATTCATTTGTGTTTATGAGAAAGTGGTATCAACAAGTGTTTAGTCCTTGGAATAAACTAACAAACAAAATCAAAAAAGATGGCAGTATAAATATATTTATTTGCAAATAGGATTCATTATTCAAATTATGTTCTTTGTTCCTCAATTCCTAAATGACAATATGTCATTTTACAATTTGAATAGAAAACAATATTTTACTGATGCAATGTGCCTACTAATCTTATCTGAGCAATAGTGAGATGCCTCATTAGGAAAAAGGTGTCTCTGATGTGCAAAGCTGGTAACCTGACCTTCATCACCATATGAAGAGGGCCAAAAGAAACCACACAAAGTTTTCTTGTGGTCTCAATGTATTTGTCACCCAATCAAATCCGTAATCACATGACACCCACAGACACAACAGAAATGTGTTTTAGAAAATAAATTTCTCTGGGTGGTAGTGGTGCACACCTTTAGTCCCAGCACTGGGGAGACAGAGGCAGGTGGATCTCTGTGAGTTCAAGACCATCCTGTTCTGCAAGAGCTAGTTCCAGGATAGCCCCCAAGCCACAGAGAAACCCTGTCTTGAAAAACCAAAAAAATAAAGATAAAATAAAATAAACTTTATTGCCCTTACATTATCTGGCATCTCTAGACAACTCCTTTAAAGACAATACTTCAATACGGAGTGCCAAAGGGGTAAAAATGGATCATAAACAGACAGGAATGTCATAAAAATCTATACAATCCATAGCACATCAAGCTATGTTATGAGAGATACAGTTGATGGCTGATAATTCTACTTTATTATATCTCTACCAGATAGATGAAAATGATGCTTTCTTATATTCTCTTCTATTAAGAGTATTTAATGTTTCTTATATTCTCTTCTATTAAGCATTTTAACATTACATTGCTAAAATGCACTGCCAAAACAGGACACATTAGGGCTTTCTATCTTCTATACTTAGACTTGCACTCTGGAGGCTGACACATGAGAACCATAAGTTCAAATGTAGCTCTGATTAATTACTCGTATCCAAGCCAGGATAGATAACAAACAACATCTAAAGGGAATTTGCAAAAGCATGAAAATCAAAACTAGGAACAACCCACCACCCTTTCACAGACACCCTTACTTGAAAATTATGATCATACACTGCCAGATATTTAATTAAACAATGGATCACTAAATGATGAACATCTCATTCTATACATTTCAGCAGAAATATATCACCAAGTCAAAGCACAACAGAAGATTAACAGAAGTCAAAGAAGGAATATATGAACCACCAAATAAACTTCAATAAGTGAATTTGCCACATATACACAACATTTCAATACCTACTCCAAAAGCTTCAAAATATAAATCACAATACTGTGAGCTCCACCATCAGATTTTAGTGAACACAGTAAACAATTTACTTCAAGACTATGACACAAGATTTTCTCACTTAAATCTGAAGATAGCTCTGATGTTTAAAGTCTTCATCATATTGTTTACATACCTAGGGCTTCTGGTTTGTAGGAATTCTTCCCTATTTCCTAATGTCAAGATGATATATAAAATCTTTAATATTTATAGTGCTAGAGACAGGACCAAGCACTTAAGACAAATTCATGCCCAGAATCCAGGTGAGGTTTTTGACAACTTCCTGTAATTCCAGGTAGAAATCCAGGAAGACTACAGTGTCTACCCTCTTGGGAACCACTAAGCACATGCATATATCCAAAGACACAATGACATAATGAAATAAAAGTTAAAACAATCATTTTCACTCATGACTATTTCTTGTGTAAGTGCATTCTTGCCTGTAACCCAGACGTTGAGGCATGTAAAGGTTTACCTACAAAGTTTTTTCTTCATCATAAATTGGTTCTTATAACAGAAAACAATCTTGTAGGCTTCAAAGGCAGAGAATCAATACTTCTCAGTTGTTGGTATCATCTGGAAAAGTTTAGAAAACGCCTCCCTTTATAGGAACTATGTCACTGGTGGTGGATTTTGAGATTTAAAATCCTCACACCACTTCCAGTTTCCACTCTCTGCTCCATGCTTCATGTTGAGGATGTGAGCTCTGAACTTCCTGCTTTAGTTGTCATGCCTGACATTTGTTGCCATTCCTCTCTCATGATGATCTTGTTTTGCTTTGGAACCATAAGCCAAATTAAGCTCTTTTTTAAGTTGCCTTAGATACTGTGTTTTATCACAGCAAAAGTCTAATACACATCCATAAATTTTACTCCTGGATAAGTTATTTCATACAATTGCAGATAAACATGACACCTAAAATATTTGCCTTACTAATTAAATCCACAGGGCTTTTGTCCATATGAGTTTGTAGGTGAAAACAAAATAAAGAGACACCATAATGCTTGAATAGATTGTTGACACTTGTCATATTTTATCTCTACAATAAACAATGTTGTGTAGCTAAATGTAAGTTTGTTGGCTAAATCCTTTTATACTCATAGATTCCCCTTCAGTGTAAATTCTGTTGTGTCCTCAGAGACTACTATAATATACGAAGGCATTAACAGATTGATTATACACTACAGGTTTTACTCTTAGATGAACTCTTTCATGGTTTCAAAGACTATGGTGAAATGCAAAGACTTTATAACATTGGTTACATTCATAGGGTTACTCTCCAATATGAATTCTTTCATGCCTTTGAAGATAACTGGGGCCTGCAAAGGCTTTACCACATTGCTTACACTCACAGGGTTTCTCTCCCTGATGAGTTCTTTTATGAACTTGGAGATGACTCTCTTGAGAACAGGTTTTCCCACATTGATTACATTCATAGGGGTTCTGTCCAGTATGAATTCTTTTATGCCTTTGAAGATTTCTGTGACATGCAAAAGTTTTTCCACAATAATTACATTCATAGGGTTTCTCTCCAGTGTGAACTCTTTTATGAACTTGGAGATAACTCGGTTGTGAAAAGGCTTTCCCACACTGATTACATTCATACAGTTTCACTCCAGTGTGAATTTTTTCATGTACTTTAATATAAGTGTAATCTGCAAAGAATTTTCCACATTGCTTACATCCATAGGGTTTCTCTCCAGTATGGGTTCTTTTATGTATTTGGAGATAACTCTGTCGTGAAAAGGCTTTGCCACATTGATTACACTCATAGGGTTTCTCTCCAGTATGGGTTCTTTTATGTATTTGGAGATAACTCTGTCGAGAAAAGCCTTTCCCACACTGATTACATTCATAAGGTTTTACTCCTGTATGAATTATTTTATGCCTTTGAAGATTACTGTGACGCGCAAAAGCTTTCTCACACTGATTACATTCATAGAGTTTCTCTCCAGTATGAATTCTTTTATGACTTTGAAGATAACTGTAACATGCAAAGGCTTTCCCACATTGATTGCATTCATAGGGTTTCACTCCAGTATGAGTTGTTATATGAACTTGGAGATGACTCTGTTGTGAAAAGGCTTTACCACATTGTTTACATACATAGGGTTTCTCTCCAGTATGAATTCTTCTATGACTTTGGAGATGAGTATAACGTACAAAGGCTTTCCCACAATAATTACATTCATAGGGTTTCTCTCGAGTATGAGTCCTTCTATGTATTTGGAGATTACTCTGCTGTGCAAAGGCTTTACCACATTGACTACATTCATAGGGTTTCTCTCCAGTATGACATCTTTCATGCCTGTGAAGATAATTGGCACATGTAAATGCTTTAACAAAATCATTTCTCTGATGAATGTTTTTATCTGTATGACTTAATTTTGCAGTATGGACTAATGGCAAAGAGGAGTGAGACAGTAAGGTTTTACCATGTTCTTTACATCCATAGGGTTCCTCTTATTATGGGCTCTTTTGGTTATTTGAAGATACCTGTGATAGTCAGAATCTTTAGTACATGGCTCAATTTTATAATACCCTTTTGTCATGAGATTTTCATATAACTGAAGAGAATTGGAAGAACTCAGAGTGTTACCACACTGATTACATTCATAACATTTTTCTATACTGTGAGTCATACTACATTTGCAAAGTTAACCAGGACAAACAAAAGAGTTTATACACTTTGTACGTAAAGGGCTTTTCTGTGGTATGAGATTGATATATTTCCAATGAGGTCTGAAAAACAATGAATTGTTAACTTATATTTACACTGTTGCTTTTCCTTAAAACTTCTAGGGTACATTAAAATTCTTCTGTGGAGTTCAAGGCCAGACTGGTTTACAAAGAGAGTGCCAGGACAGCCAGGACTGTTACACAGAGAAACCCTGTCTCAAAAAAATTAGGGAAAAATTCTTCTGTGGGACATTTGTATTAGCTTGCACATAAAAATTACCTTCCATTTCTTCTAGGTCTTTGAGAAAGTTCTTTAATATTATGTTCTTCCCATTTGTAACCTAAAATATAATAACAGAAAATGTATGCTATATTATTGGAAATTATGCAAAATTTAAATTAATATATCCAGTGAAACTAAAACCCTTACCTGACTTATTACCCACATTCTTCCCCTTTATCACTCCAAATTAAATAAGGGCATCAAGAACCAAGAAAAATTGTCTCTTTATTTTAAATGTTGAAATAAAATTCACAGTATTACCTATAGCAGTGAGGTTCCTGTAGGTCTCCAGCATCACATTTTTGTAGAGACTCTTCTGGGAAGGATCCAGCAAAGCCCACTCGTCCCAAGTAAAATCGATATGCACATCATCATAGGTCACTGCATTCTAAATATCCCATACATGTGTACAACAGAAAGAGATATTGATAAAATTTACATGTATATTTCTTTGTCAATATATTTGCATAGTTCTAGTGCTTCCCACAGGTACTCAATGACAGAGAAGTTATAATCCCCAAGTCACTTTAAAAGAAAATTGAAAAGGAGGTTCAAACTGACATTTCTTGGCCCTCTGAATGGGATTTACCCTTCCAAGAGAAATGACTATTATCAGACATACAGAGAGACAAACAAACAAATCCACAGTACTAAGTGCATGTCAGAGAAACTGTATGAACAATAGCCACAAGGAAAGATGGGCAAGCTGGGCTGGAGAAATGGCTCAGTGGTTCAGAAAACTGGCTGCTCTTTCAGAGGTCCTGAGTTCAATTCCCAGAAACCACATGGTAGCTCACAACCATCTATAATTAGACCTGCTGCCCCCTTCAGGCATGTAGGGATATACTATATACATACTAAATAATAAATAAATATTTTTTAAAAAAAGATGGGCAAGGTGGGTGTATTGTCTCATGCCTTTTACCAGAGCACACAGTAGGTCTATGAAATGAGTTCAGCATAGCCAGGGGTACATATTTCAACCCTGACTCACCCCCCAAAAATCTGACCAACAAAAGAAACAAAAAAAAAAGAAATCTCACTGATGTTCCTAGATGGAGATGTGCATTCATTCCAACTCTGTAATAATCTAGAAACATGAAGTGTCCCAGTTAAAACTGTAAGATTAATAAGAGATTATTAAAAGGGAATACATGTTTAACTCATTAGAGATGCACAGATGAAAATATAAGTATTGTAAATGTAAATTTAAAAATTAGAGCAGGAGAGATGACTCAGCAGTTAACAGCACTTGATGATCTTGTAGAGGAGATAGGTTCAATTGCCAAGTACTTACATAGCTCACAACTATCCATAGTTCCAAGTTCAGGAGTTCTGAGACCATTTTCTGACTACTACAAGTACCAAGCAAACATACAGTACATATCCCTGCATACTGGCAAAATACTCCTATTTATTTAAAAAAAATTAAAACATATGCAAGTAGGAAGAATGTCTAATGCAATCTAATGACACATGACCCTCAGATATTATTAATGTCATGAATATGTGCCATCCAAGGAGAAAAAAATGATACCCTCTGCCAAAGCTTAGAAGGCAGGCTGTTGGTGAAGCTCAGGACAACAGTACATGTTTGGCATGTACAAAAATCTACATTCCAGGTCGACAAGCCAATGATACGTGTATATATATATAAAAAAAAAATGTGAGCCGGGCATTGGTGGCGCAAGCCTTTAATCCCAGCACTCGGGAGGCAGAGGCAGGCGGATCGCTGTGAGTTCAAGGCCAGCCTGGTCTCCAGAGCGAGTGCCAGGATAGGCTCCAAAGCTACACAGAGAAACCCTGTCTCGAAAAGCCAAAAAAAAAAAAAAAAATGTGTATAACACGAAAAAGTAAATGACCCAGAAAATGATATTAGGGTTCAAACTTCAAGCTGAGTATCAGAAAAGCAAAGCAGCTGGCCACTAGCTCTCACCTCAAGCTCAGGCTGAAAGGGCTGATCCTAATGCCTCTTCTCCATGTGGCTGGGGAATGAATGCCTCTACTGAGACCTTGCTTCTGTTTCATATACTTCCCTACTGTTGGATTAAAGGTGTGAGCTATAATTCTCTTTTAGACTGATTCACTCTTGTACAGATCTGGGTGGCCTTGGACTCATAGAGATCAGTCTATCTCTTAATCCTGAGTCCTAGGATTACAGATGTGTACCACCACTTCCTAGCTTCTGGCTGCTGGGATTAAAGGTGTGTGCCTGGCTTCTATGGCTTGTGGCTGACTTTGCTTTCTGAATCTTCAGGCAAGCTTTATTAAATCACAAGTAATATATCACTACAATTCCCCCTTTTTGTCTAATAGAAAAAGAAGGCTACACCTAGCATAAGAAAAACTATATACAATAAGTACACTAGGTATATACAATATATAAAGGAAATAAATTCGTCGACAATGTCCAGTTCATTTGCATTTGACAAACCAGAGAAACGACTTCATTATCTATCCTAAATTGGTGAGACCATAGTCTTGTATCTAATTTATTTATATTCTAATTTGCATTATCAAATTATTTTCTGTTTCTCAACTTTATGCACATTTTTAGTGAGTTTCTTTTCTGAGTCTGGTAAACAATGAAAGCTATAACTATACTATCTAGTCTTCAACTCCCTTAAAGACCCAAAGAAGAAAATATAAACTGAATAAACATGAAGTTCGATCAAGCAACTTCCAAAAACTGTGAAAAATGACAAAAACAGCTGGCTGCCTGGGTCCTCTGCAACATTTGGGCATCCATCTTCAGTCTATAGGCCTAGCATCTCTGACAGACTTTTCTGTAAAGCAGGATTGTCTTGGCAAGTAAACCAACAGTCAATGTCAAACTAAATGGAGAGAAACTCAAAGCCATCCCACTAAAAACAGGAGCAAAACAAGGCTGTACATTCTCTCCAAATCTATTCAATATAGTACTCAGAGTTTTAGTTAGAGCAATAAAAAAACAAAAGGAGATCAAGGGGGTAAAAATTGGAAAGGAAGAAGTCAAACTTTTGTTATTTGCAGATAATATGATAGTATTATGTGTGTGACCCCAAAAATTCTACCAGGGAACTCCTGCAGCTGACAAACACCTTCAGTAATGTAGCCTTCCTATATGCAAATGGTAAATGGGCAGAGAAAGAAATCAGAGAAGCTACAAACAACATAAAATATCTTGGGTAACTCTAACCAAACAGGTGAAAGACATGACAATGACTATAAGCCATTATAAAAGAAATTGAAGAAGATACTAGAAAATGGAAGGATCTACCATGATCTTGGGTAGGTAGGATCAGCATAGTAAAAATGGTACTCTTACCAAAAGCCGTCTACAGATTCAATGCCATCCCCATCAAAATCCCAACACAATTCTTCACAGACCTTAAAAGAACAATACTCAACTTTCTATGGAAAATCAAAAACCTAGAATAGCCAAAACAATCCTGTACATCTTTACTATAGAGATATAGTAATAAAAACAGCTTGGTGGTGTAATAAAAACAGCAATGTGGATCAATGGAATCAAATTGAAGACCCTGATATTAATTCACACACCTATGAACACCTGATTTTTGACAAAGAAGCCAAAATCAAAAATTGGAAAAAAGCATCTTCAGCAAATGGTGCTGTCATAACTGTATGTCAACACATAAAAGAATGCAAATAGATCTGTAGCTATCCCCTTATACAAAACTCAAGTCCAAATGGATCAAAGACCTCCACATAAATCCAGTTATACTGAGCCTGATAGAAGAGAAAGTGGGAAGTAGCATTGAATGCATGGGCACAGGAGACCTCTTCTTGAACATAATACTAGTAACACAGACTCTAAGAACACAATTAATAAATGGGACATCCTGAAATTGAAAAGCTTCTGTAAGACAAAGGGCATGGTAAATTAGACAAAAAGGCAGCCTATAGAACGGGAAAAGATATTCCCCAACCCCACATCTGACAGACAGCTGATCTCCAAAATATATAAAGAACTAAAGAAACTAGACATCAAAATACCAACTAATCCAATTTTAAATCGGAGTACAGATCTAAACAGGGAATTCTGAACAAAAGAAACTCAAATGCCTGACAGACATCTAAGGAATTGCTCAACATCCTTACCCATCAGGGAAATGCAAATCAAAACGACTCAAAGATACCATCTTACACCTGTCAGAATGGCTAAGATCAAAAACACTGAGGACAGTTTATGCTGGAGAGAATGTAGAGTAACGGGAACACTCCTCCACTACTGGTCAAAGTGCAAACTTAAACAGCCACTTTGGAAATCAGTGCAGTAGTTTCTCAGGAAACTGGGAATCAATCTATATCAAGACCAAGCAATACCAAAGGATGCACACTCATACCACAAAGACATTTGCTCAACTCTGTTCATAGCAGCATTCTTCATAAGAGCCAGACCTGGAAACAACCTAAATGCTCCTCAACCAAAGAATGGATAAAGAAAATGTGGGACATTAACACAATGGAGTATTACTCAGCTGCAAAAAATGATGACATCATAAAATTTGGATGGAATAAGAAAAAAAATCATCCTTAGTGAGATAACCCCAACTCAGAAAGACAAACATGCTAAAGACAAACTCATAAATGAATACTAGATGTAAAGCAAAGGATAAGCAGACTACAATCCACAGAGAAGCTAGGTAACAAGGAGGACCCCAGTAGCGAAGCATGGATCATCTTTGCCATAGGAAATAGATGAGATCTCCTGGGTAAATTGCCACTGGGGTGGGTGGTAGAGCACAGGGAATGGAGGATGAGAACTGAAGGAGCAGGATGGTTGAGTTGGAGGACGAATGGAGGGAGAGAGCAATGAAAGGGATATCTTGATAAAGGGAGCCATTATGGGTTTAGGGAAAAACCTGGTGCTAGGGAAATTCCAAGGAATCCACAAGGATGACCCCAGCTAAGACTCATAGCAAGAGTAGAGAGGGTGCCTGAACTGACCTTCCCCTATAATCAGATTGGTGAATACACTGCCACCATAGAACCTACATACAGTAACTGATGGAAACACTCGCTGGGATCCACAGTCAAGAGCTGGGCTGAGCTCCAGTTTAAGAGAGGGAGGAGGGAATCATATTAGCAAGGTGGGGGGGGTGTCAAGATCATGATTGGGAAAACCACAGAGACAGCTGACCTAAGCTAGAGGGGAGATCACAAACTCTGAACTGACAGCTGGGGATCCTGCAGGGGACCGAACTAAGCCCTCCGAATGTGGGTGACAGTTATGCGGCATGACCTGTTGGGGGGGGGTGACAAGCAGTGGGACCAGGACTTATTTATCCAGGGTGCATGAACTAGCTTTTGGAGCCCAGTCCCTATGGTGGGATACCTTGCTCAACCTTGATGGGGGAGGGGGGTTTGGTCCTGCCTTGACTT